CAAGCCCTTTGCCCTCCCTGATGCATTATCTGCCACCAGGGACACAGGATCTGAATGAATCTAGCTCCAGCCAACTCTCTGAGGTCCAGAACATGTTGTCCATGGAAAAACAACACACACCAGAGAAACAAAAAGTGAGAGACTACCTGGCTGCTGTTTATAGACTTCTCAGAAGAAGTCAGCAGTCAGCAGCCAAACTCAAATATTCATGTCACTCCCTTATGGAAGGTGAGTTTTTAAATGCTTGGACACTTTTCAGCCCAATAGCCCAATTCCTGTGTTTGCAACCAAAATGTTGGAATAAGTAACAGGGCTTATGCTGGGGCCCACTGGACTTAGTGGGAAAAGCAGATGCCAGAATATTTTTTAGATACATAACAGTAATTCTTTTTACTTCTCTTTTTGTGGGCTACTGGACTCCACCCTCAGTCACATGCAAAACAATTCCTGGGTAGATCCTTCTACTGAATGCCTTGGACTGCTTATGGACGTTCCTGGTTTATATAGATAAATAATATTTCTGCTTTGGAAAGTGCTAAGAATCTCTAGAGTCCACTCTGAGAATCAGCTACAGATTCAGGAGAAAAGCAGTATCATACAAGGAAGGGACCTGAGGGACCGAGAGCGAGCAATCCCAAACTCTTCTCTTTGTGACTGCCAACAGTGCAAGGCACAACCCTCTGGTTATTATTCACTAGACCTCCTGATGTAAAGCTGCTGTTGCCCCAGAGCAGTGCACAGCAGCTGCTCTGACGCTGGCTGCCAGCAGAGCCCTTTCTGCAAAAAGAGCCCATCGCTCTCTTTTTACTGGAAAAGACAGAACAGTGCCTCTTACGCCATTACTTGCTCCAGCTTCTGTTTTCCTTCCTCAGCTCCCTTACAAAAAAACTATAGGCCACATTCACCTCTATTTTCTCTCCTTTTCAGCATGCTTTTGAATCCAGCATGAGCAGGGCAAGGGTTACCAGATGCACACCAGTGTGAGCAAGAGGAGAGCTGGTCTTCCCAACAGTCACTTGTCACTGCTGTATTTCATTCCCCCTCCACCTTGTCTTGCTGTGCTTGGGCAGAGACGCAAACGCTGCCCTCTTCTCGTGATGGCCAAGCCCTTGTCAGATGCTGCTCTAGTCTTCAGGGTGATTTGAACAGCAGTCTGGGGCTCAGTGAGATGCTGGCCAAGGCACACACGTTCCACAGGCAGGATGGGTGAGCTGATGAGAGCTCTCTGCAATAGACTTCTCCAAGAGCTAAGAGGTTCCTCCAGTCTTATCTCTGTAGGAGATCAAGTACTTACATGTGCTTTGAGCCGGCCTAACCACAAAACTACCAGAAAAGTAGAGCATAGTAGGGAACATGGCAAGAGATGAAGGATGTGCTCCTGCTCCAGCTGGAGGAAGACCTGCACTGATCTGGCAGAGCAGATGAAAGCTTAGACCTGTGAAACACTGAGCACTGAGGAGCTGCAAACCTCATGATCTGGATGATTTAACCAGAAGAGGCATTATGTCTCAACCCTTTGAATATTCTTCAATACCTATTTTTCACACATCACACACCTTCAAACACCTCCCAACCTACCTACCCCCCCCACCCCCCGCCCCCCCCCCAAACCAAAACTCATGGAACAAGAGATTAAAAGCCACAAAAACACAAATGTCCCAGCAGGAATGAGCAAGGGAAGCCAAAGACCTGTTGGGATTTGCAGTTCCTGCCTTAGCTGGGAAATTTTTCCCCTGGATAAGCCATGGCAGTCACTGTCTTTGGCTTGTGCCGAAGCCAGTGGGAGCTTAGCACAACTCATTCTTTAAGAGCAACGTCTCTGAATAACAAGCAAGCATGGCATGGCAATTGCTGAACTGAGTGAATAACGGGCTTCATAGGTGCTGTCAAAAGGAAAATCCCAGCTGGCTCCAAAGAGCTTTCTATGTGTGTTGGCAGGTCCTTGGTATTTCTCCCAGACAGGGAGGGCAGGTCCCAGCCGAGAGCCGAGTACAGCACATCCAGGCTTACATAACCCAAGGGGCCCAGGGTAATCATTAACGCTGGATTACTGCCACTGCCTTTGTGCTGGAGTCACCTGGTTGTTTGGATTAAATGTATAGTGGCCATTTAGACAAGGAGAAGGCTCCTGGCACAAGGACTTCAGTGAAAACAAGCCCCAGGGAGGGTGGGAAGCAGAAGACTGTTGCAAATATCACAGGATCTAAACTCAAGCACTCCCCCAGGGAGCCAGAGTTGCTGCCTTCCATCACAACACCCTGCTCCACGGGCTGGTTTGCTTTCCACAGGGGTGCAGCTCTCCTCAAAACCACCAGGGTAAAAAGCCCCCACACAACACAGGTCAGGGGGGCAGAACTCTTGCTAGGAAGCTTTACCTTGGCGACTCCCACACCAGCAAGCAAGATCTCATTCCTCTCCCCTTGGCATCCTTTCCAAAAGCACACATTATCAGTGCAACCTGACTTTACCCATGTCCTGTCCTTATCCTTCTTTGCTTATCTGATGTCTCACGTGTGCTATTACTGTTTGCCTCCTGTGTGTTACTGGCGTGTGGTCTGTGCCACTGTCTGGGGCAAAGGAGATTTAGGACATCTTGGTTCTGCTCCCATTTCCCCTCCATGCTGCTCTGCGGACTCGGACACATCACTGCACTGCACTATGTTTAGCCACAGGTCACAGAAGTCAGGTCACCTCACAGAAAGATCACTTAACTCCTATTCCTCCTGCTTAGCCTTTACCTTGAGTACAACCTCCCCAGCTGACAGCTCCTTACCTGTCCTATCACTGCCCCTCCACCACAGTTCTGACAAAGTTCTGACAAAGGGACCACAAACCTTTTAAAAACACACAAAGCTCTAGCAAGCATTAGGAGCCAGATCACGATCATTTTGTGAAGGCTGCTCCTCTGCACACCTGTCCACTCACACCTCAGAAACCAAATTACAGAGGTTTGAAGTCAATGAGACTTAGGCATATGTATAATCATGCAGTGCTGTGCTTTGCCATGTAGAGTTGCTGAAGCTGGGACAACTTATCCAGTTGTGGCATCAAAACATTTAAATATATGTTTATCTTCAGGTGGATTAAGTCAGGCTTAAGGCACGGCCACTTTTTCCTCATGAATCCGCAAAGTGCAGCCAGGCCAGTAATTCCACATAAAACAAACATCAAAATCTGTTTTGAAAATTTCTACTTTTTTTAGGTCAAAACTCTGAAAATATCAATCATTTCAAGCAGAACTAACTCTGCTTTCACAGCAAACATGGCCCTACTTTTTTCAGCAAAATATTGCAATTTTATATAAACTTACATTTCCTTAGGTATTAACTAGAAAAACCCACACAACTCACACTCAAAACCCATACTTAAAACACACAAGAGAGAAAGGAGAATAAAAGAGAGAGAGAATACACATTTCATGGAAAATACTATAGGCTAAAACAAAACTTAGATTTCTGCCCTGCTGTGCTCCGACAGTCGGCATTTTGCATTACTCCACTTCAGCTTTAAGTATTACCTCTTGCAGAAAAATAGCAACTTCTGCCCCAAAGGCCTTGCAGGGTGAATTGCCCAACTTTACAGCAATATCAGAACTCCAGGTGAGACAGGGAAGAGACTGAGATGCTGGTTAAAAAAAGCAGCTGGTTTAATGGATGAAGTGGATAGGGTGAGAACAGAAGGGAATTGCAGATCCTCTTGGTGCAGGCTTGCTAATTAAAGCTTAAAACCACTGTCCTGAGCACTCTGGTCTTCAAGCTACACCTCAGGAGGTAACAACAACCTGGATTGCACAGAACTTAGTCTGCCTCATCCCTCGGTCCTCTTGCCAGACTCAAAGGGATTCTCTGGGAAAAATAATCACGGGTCTGGAGAGCCCTGGCTCGTCAGCTGGCGCTTTTTGGTGGCTGTTCTTCAGGGAGAGACTTTAATCCCTCAGTGCCTGTTAGTCTCAGAATGATTCTTGCTGGGAGAAGATCTGGACCCACTGCACCATTGCTCCCATGGAGACTCAGAAGTGACTTTAACACCAGTCGTGGTGCTGGTTTCTTCTTCCAGTGGAGGCCAAGGCAAGCAGAAGCACAGTGCAAGGCATGTCCCAGCTTGCAGGTCACAAGAGCATGGTGTCCAGGCCCCTGTTGTTACAAATGGAAGCAATGGCTTTTGCAGAACAGGGCGTCTTCTCCTCAGGCCTGAGGCAATTCTTCCTATCACAGCTCCTCCACATCGCTCTTTCAGGCGTGGGATTTACAGAAGAGCCAACTGAGGCGCCCTGGCACCAAGACCATCATGCTGGGCCTGTCTTTAACAATCTAATCCTGTGACTACCAGCCTCATTGCTTGCTCCTTCCATCCAAGGATCACATAAACACAAATTAAGTCCCACAGTATCATTGTCATGTGTTATTATCCCCGTTTTACAAGAAAGGGAACTGCAGAAGGCAATCGAGTCCTTTGTCTTGGGTCAGTCACCGCCACAGTCTGAAGCAGAATTTGAAGCCCTTCCTCCTCCACACTAACCACTAAAGCTGGAATTCCTTCAAAACCTGCTTGCTCTACTTTATGAACCACCATTTTACTGCATCTGTAGACCTGTTCCACAGCAGTCAGGAGCCATGGAAGGCGTTTGTGTCCCAGTGTGGCTGCCAAGCAAGGCGTGAGGGCTCCAGTGAAGAGAGACAGCTGAGACATCTCGTGCCTCCCAAGAACTTTCTGAGATGAGAAAAACTGAAGATAACTTCAGAACTGATCCATCGTCTCCCTGTTACACAGCACCTGAAAAGTTACATCCAGGTGAATCAAAATTTCCAGTGTCCTAATTAAAGAGCTGGCTATAAAGGAAATTAATGAATAATAATTTCAAGGAGGGATTTAAAATTTCCATTTTCATTTTATTGTCAAAGTAAATATATTTTTATGAAGAACAAAAGAAAATATACAGAATTGTAACTTATGTACACTGGCTTTATAGGTATTTTTGTTTCCAATTTACACAAATTTGATACGTTATTAAAAGATATTTTATATAGATATGCATCTATGTACAGTTTTATTTACATACATTCATAGGATGTGATATAAACCAGTCAATAGATGATAGTTCATTTATATTAATTTCTAGAGGACAAAAGGAATGCATTCACTTTAGCCAGACCTGCCGTTCTCACACAGCATGGGCTCCTGCTCTGCCTAGCTCTAGGATCACACTTTCCTACTTCCCATTTTGCCAACAGAAAAGACAAACAGATGCCGTCTGCGAATGGAAAGGAAATGCAACATCCATTATAAAATCATTCCTAATTACTGAATCCTATTTTCTTCTAAAGCTTCTTACAATCGCCAGAGTTCAAAAGGAAAAACAAAACAAGAAGAAACAGAAATAAAATCACTTGCCTGCTACCATCTGATTATTTGCTTTAATTCCCTTCTTAGCCAGCTATCACACAAATTTGTTTCTTTTGGCTGCTGTTCTCACCCATTCTCCCACCCCAGCTGCACGGAGCTCTGACATGGCTGTTGGGAGGGAGAGGAGCAGCACTGAGGATCACGCCCAGACCTCGGTCTCACAGCGCTGTCCCACCAGGTCGTGGTTCCTCCCACCCTCCCTGGGCACAGGCACGTCCTGCAGACCCTGCCAGCAAACAGAGTGAGCTCCACCAGGCAGCCTTGACCCTCAGGGGTGTGGGGGTGCCCAGCGCCCACCAGGCTCCCCCAGGGCTGGGGCTCTGCTTTCTCGCCCCAGGTGGCACGAGAGGGCAGGAGCAGAGACAGAACAGAGCTCAGAGGCTCTCACAAACACCTTTGTGCTGCCTTGTGGGCAGACAACAGCTCTTTGCTAAAGACAGTGATGCTGCAGAGCAGCCTCAAAGGAAAGCAGTGTCCTTTGGAACCTGGGCATCCTTTCACCCCTCGGCAGCACAGGACAGAAGCACACACACAGTTCCAGAGGCTTCACTCCAAGCCATTCCATCCAGCCTGAGCTTCTGGGCTTGCTTGGGATGTGTCTTTGCTTAAATATATATATATATACATATAAATATATATATATATATATATATATATATATATGTATGAATGAATATGTATACATAAATATTTATATATAGCCCTCGCCAAGGGAAAGGTAAATGTGAGCTGGGAAAATCAGAGATGCATGGAGGCACATTCCAGTGCTCTCCAAGCCCTGTCTCCCCCTATCCCCAACTCCCACTGTTCCTCCTCCTATGGCCAGCCCCTACAAATCCTTGGCTCAGGCGACCCAAAAACAAAGAAGTTGTTTTCATTTCAAAAGGAATTTGCTGTTTCCAAACTGGACAAATAGAGCAGCTTAATAAAAACTCACAATGAGTGGCCTGTACATGAGCAAAGCCCTCAGGAATGCCAGGGCTATAATTAACTAGCAGCAAGCAACTTTTACATTTTCCTGTGCAGCAGAAAACAGCTAAAAATAAAACACTGTAATTTCCAAAAGAAGCAGCAGCAAATGAGAGACAGATAGAAGGAAAGGAAAATAATATCCTTAAAAGAAAAAAAAAAAAAAAAAAAAAAAGGAAGAAGCACCCCGCTCCCCTGACCCAAAAAGAGCTTCATTCCCAAATCATCTTTGAAGGACATGGGGCACTCAAACATGGTGGTGTCAAGTAACAGCATTGACTGTTCTGTGGAGACAAATAAATTATCACTAGAAACATAGTGACAAATAAATTATCACTAGAACCATAGTGAGCAAAGTGCTGCGGTGGGCTGGTGCGGGACGGCTGGCGGGAAGGGGAGGCAGGAGCCCTCAGTTCACGGAGCGCACGGAGCGGCTGCTGCGCGGGAACCGGTGCACCTTGACGTGCTTGGACAAGTGGTCACTGCGAGCAAACTTCTTCTCACACACTGGACACTGGTAGGGCTTCACCCCCGAGTGGGAGCGCCTGTGCCGGGACAGCTCATCCGACCTGGAGAACCTGCAAGAGAGGAGAAGCCTTTTCAGATAAATGGGGGTTTATTGTGCTAAGGCTGTCACAGCGAGTTGAAAAATCCTCTCAGGCCACTGGGAGACTCCAGGAGGTGAAAGGGACACACAGCAGGGCTGGGCTGGTCCCAGCTCACAGGAAGCAGCAGTGATGGGAACACAGAGCTGCCAGCCCTGGACTCAGGGCAATGCACAGAGGCAGCATTTGTACCAGCCTCGTCCTGGACCCCATGACATGGGTACAGCTTGACAAAAACAGCGCTGCCCTCGATCCCCCTGCAGTCCCTCCAAAGCCACCCCAACCACCTCTCCCCTGAAGATCCAAGCACAGACTCCTCAAGCACAGACAACAACCACTGTTACTGACACAAGCACAAGAGACACCCCTAACTGCACCCAGTTTGAGAGGGATTCCAGATAAATCCAGCCATAGCTACCTAGAAACAACATGACTTATTGGATCCAGATGAAAAATTGGCTTCCATGTGTGCTCCTGCAGGCTAAATAAAGAGTCAGTACCAGAGATGCTCAGCATCCCAACAGCTGAAATTCAGGTGGGTCCCAACGGCCATTTGCATAGTTATTTGCATAGTTAGCATTGGTAAATTAAATCAATAATAAATTAAATAAATTTAATTACCAAAACTGTATTCCATAGTCTTTTGAATTTTAGATATTTTCCACCTTCCATCTCCACAGAAAAATCCCCAAATAGTCACCATGAATCCCACAGGTTTTATTGAACCCAAATGAGCTAATCCTTTGGCCTTAAGGGTAGGGCTCACTCTGTTTCCACTTTGGACATGACTAGGAGACAGAGGGTTAATTAACAATGTCACACTAAAACAGCCCTGTCCAGATGGGTACAAAAAATTTGCTGCCTGACAAAGGGCAATTAAGTGTTTTGTTGCCAGAGCAGTAACAAAGAGCAGCACAGAAAGAGAGCTTGCAAGAAATGGTATCAGCTGTTTATTTACAATAAATAAGTGAAGTCATGGGCACTAGCTGAACAAATCAGGGAAAGAACATGTAGAAAAATGTGCTCTTCTGGAGCAAAATATCACATCACCAACAGAGCAAATACGCTATTTTTATGAAAGGGAGAAAACAGGACTGCTGGGCTCCTATGAATAAATCCCTCATGCAAGAAAAGTAAGTTTCCACATAAAGGTTTTAATTAGCTCTGATCTCCTGCCAACAGTTGAGGACCAGGGCACAGGCACTGGGAAAGCTGGTAATGGTTTCCTCAGTTGCTGCAGCTCTTCAGGCTGGTCGTGCTCCCCAGAGAGCACTCAGCCCCTGGAAAGCTGATCCAGGCATTCACCACAGGTAAGGTATGGTGTGGGAATCTGTCCCAGGTGCATTTCTAGGGGAGATTCTTTCACCTATTCACTTGCTTTTTCTTCCTTTCCTTGCTCTGGTATCCTCTTGGCTAAAGAGTCAAATTCTCCATGATGAACAGGCAGCTGTTATGGAACTGTCCACCTGATCCTTGTCTGGGATGACTCTTCTTCATAAAGGCTGTGGCTGAACTTTCTCTTCACGCCTTCTACTTGCATGTTTGCTTTCTCTAATACCCCTGGTCCTTTCAGCCACAGCTTCCCAAAAACACAGTCTGGACCCAGGAGCAGCAGGGTCAGGGATTTCTCCCGGGTCCTTAGCAGTGAGCTAGACCCAGTGCCAGATCCTTGCAGGGATGCTCTTGTAGAGCTATGGTGAGTGGGCCTGGAGAGTGTAGGATGCTCCCTGTGCAGACTGCCTCAACAGGACTGTGTTGGACAAGGAACAGGGCTGTGCCACATCCAGGGAAAAGAGGAAAAGCACTTTTGCAAAGAGCCATCCTCTTATATACAGACTTCAAAGAAAAAAAAACAGATGTGGCTGGGTTGCCTTGTCCTATGTCCTTGGCCATTAAGGTCACCATGTGTACCAGGAGTGCAGTAGCACTTGGCTAATCCTGCACAAGAGCCTCACAAGTGCATTTTGAGGGGAATTGCATGGATGGTGGGGGAGAAAGAGGCACATGTCAGGAATGAGCTTGGATGAGTTCATCCGATAAAAATACACTCTGCCTCATAACCATGTCCTTAGCTGAAGAGGCAGGAATGTTGCAACACTGTTCCCCAGCAGTGATGGAAAGATCAACTTACAGAGCCCACAGAAATAAACCTCAAGCTGTCTGTGTGTTTACAAAAAAACAACGCAAAGGTTAGGACAAGGAAGCTGGGAGGATCTGGCGGTCTGGCTCTGCAGTGAAATATCTGCAACACACTCTGGCACTGAGAGCAACCCAAAGAAAGTGAAAATAATCCACTGTGGAATGCAAAATTCAAAAGAAAAAAAAAAAAGAAAAAAAAAAAGGAAGCCCCAAGGAATACCTCACTATTCTGTCACTGCCATTTCCAGAAGGATTCCTCCTTCAAAAGAAAAGTGAAGGGATCTGGGAAATCCCACAGCAACTAAAAGAGCCTTCTTCATCTTTCTATCTGGCAGGACCCCAAGGACTGTAACTACATCTCCCTTGAAGAAAAGTCCTTGATGTGAGCTCCTTGATGTGTTGGACATGTCCTGTGTCTCCCAGACATATGGGGACATTCCTATGTGGCTCATGGGGCCAGAAGAGGTCAATAGCTTTAGCCTGGTACTCCTGTCCCTGCCATGGCCACCAGCCATTGATGCCAACTCAGACTGTACCTCTCCTCCAGTGCAGGAAGCCTCCAGACAGATCCCTCCTGCCCATCCCCAGAGCGTTCCTACAAGGAACCAGCACAGCTCCTGTGCACCTGTCATCCCCTTGCACAGCAGCAGCAAGAAAAGCCAGCGCAAGAAGCCTGCCCTGCCCCATGTGTGGTACTGCCCATGGCCACACGTGTTACGAGCCCTTAAACCCTCCCGGCCAAACCAGGCAGAGCTTATGGTTCATGCTGTCACCAGCCAGAAGATGCAGTGGGGCATTTAAAGGCGATTGCCTCATCCCCCAGCCTTGCAGCAGCTGCAGCTTTGCACAGTTCTGTGCCAGGGAGGGGAAGCAGGAGCTTCTCCTGCTCTGTGCCATAGCACAGCTGCTGGGCCCTGCCCAGGCCAAAGAGCTGAGCAGTGCTAACCAGAGGCTGGGGTGCCAAAGGTACAAGGTGGCACGACACAGATCAGTGCCCTGACCCGTCCAGGGAGCACAACGGGTCACTGGCCACTGCCAGATGAGCACCACTCTGCAGACTGCCAAAAACAGCCCTTGCCCCATGCCTAGGAAGGGCACAAGCAAGCAGGGTTCAGCCTCCATCAGGGAGGGGCTAGGGGTCTCCAGCCATCCTCGGGGTTAGCAAAAGGGTTTGCTGGGTGCACACTCCAACCCTGGTGAATTTAAAACATTGTGTACAGAGAGCTGAGGAACCTTTAACCCTCCCACTGATCTCAGGCACTTTGTGCTAGGCAACACTTTGTTTTGGTTTTGAAATTACTATCTCCAGTGAGATCAGCTCTTAAGTGTCTTCAGTGAAAAAATAAATACACAAGCACAAGAATGCAGGGAAAAAGGGGGAAAGCAGAGTCCAGCAGTGTTTTAGTACTTAAATTCATTTGAGATTATGTAGAAGTGGAAGCAAACAGAGTGGCCAGATGCAGTGGACTTAAGTCATGTGAGACTTAAGTCACAGCTCTCACTGAACTTCTGAAAAGGTAAACATGGTTTATTGATGAAAGGGGACTGAGTAATTCAATGCTCAGTTGGGTCTGGCCTTTGATGTGGAGCAGCACGCAGGGGATGTGCAGCAATCTCAGGCTGGTGCTGAGGATTGCTGTGAGCACAGAGGCCTCTCCCCAAACACAGCCTCTCCTGCTGGCTATAAACTTCTCCTCTTGTAGCACAGCCCTTCCAAAGTTTGGGGGTTTTGGGGATTGAGACTGCAGCCCAGGCTGTGAAACTCAACATGAAAAACAGCACAAGAGTTTGAAAAGCCCTTTGCAGCAGCTGTTTGTGGACAAGACACATGTTCTTCATTATGAAGGTGATTAATTTCTCCTTCCTGTTGGGCTCATCTTTAAAAAGTTGTGGTGGCTGAAGGTTCAGGGTGCTCCAGGCTCTGGGATCAGCAGCCAATGAAGCAAATCATTTGCCACAACATTTCAATAAGAGAGGCACCTGTTGTGAATTTAATCAACTTTTATCACTTAATATTTTTCCTAAATGTTCCCCTTGGTTTTATATCTTGGGGAACACCAGCTCTGTGATAAGACAGAGCCGGAGAAGGTCATCCACAGGCAATGCTTCAGGCTCCTGATCCTGAGCCACAAAAGTCCCTGGGAGCGCTGGTACACATCTCAGTGTGGATTAGACAAACCTTCACGTGCCACATGCATTTGTCACAAAAAGGAGAGCTGTGCTCACATGCAAGGAAAGCCAGCATGACACCCACAGGCACATCTGCTGCCTGTGCACACGTACTCTGCCAACCAAATCAAAAGCAGCAGGTGCCTGTCCTGCAGGCTGGGGGCAACCAGCCCACAGTTTCTGGGACCAATCAGCTGAAAAATGTAGCTTTGGTGAGAGGACACCCTGAGCAGCAAACTGAGCCCATGAGAGGTGCTGCCAGGGCAAAAGGAAGCAAATCACCACCAGTTTGTAGAGCCACCATCACCTGATCTCCTCAGCCCTTCTGAGAAACAAACTTCAGACTGGTCCAGCTGGAGAAGAGAAGTTTCAGCTCCATTGTGACCTTTTCCCTCAAACCAACCCAGCCATCTCTAACTGCTGCATGTCTCACATACTTGCATTTTTGCACAACATTCTCCTGTTACTTTTTACCTCATCTGTTGCCCATGATCACAACCCATTTTCTCATTAGACATTGCTCACTGAAGCTCTGCAGCATATTATTTGCAAGAAATTCAATTTAATTTAACACGAGGTAGTTAAGATTGTATTTTCTCCCATCATCATTTGTGGTGCTGTACATTAGCACTTGCCAGCAGGCAAGCCAGTAATACAGCTAAGCGGAAAGAGGGAGGAAGGCACCTGTCAAAGCTTCCTTAAAATAAAAAGCTGATATTTTTTTAAAAGACTAAATTTTTCAATTCATATTAAAAATAAAATAAAATATTTTTAAAATCCCTCTGCCAAACATTTTCTCAATCAAACCTGCAATCTTTCATTCAAGCAATGCTTAACTCCACCTCAGCCTTCTGGTTATGTTGTTACATCTGACAGCTTTTTTGCAACTTTGAGTGGCACCCACGCATTTTTCTGAATCAAGACAGAGAATAAAACCCAGAGTATGCCAGAGTGTCACTGCCAGCATTTTAAGAAGGAGTGGGATGGAGTGCATTTTCTATGAAAGTGCACAGAACACTGCTTTTAACCATACTTGCTTATCACAGCCCTTCACTGGCCACGTTTAGTCCCACACAGGGCTGTGCACAGCAATTCTGCCCTAAACCATTCAGTTCCCTCAGCCTCAGCTGGTGCCAGCCACGGCTCTGCTGGGGCTGGAGTGCTGCAACCACACCAATGCAAACACCAGATCTTACCTGTGGTAACAAGCTTAATCTGACCCTCTAGAACGAAATACAAATTATGACAGACTATTTTATTTTCTTTAAGACACTAAAACTGGTACCAGCAGGTGATGCTGTGCTATTTAATTTATCAAAACCCCTGGGTTACCTAACAGGAAGAAAAAATGGTCTTCATTGTCAAACCAACCAAACAAGTTCTGGCAATAGAAACAGTTTATAAATCACAGTACAAATCTACTTGCTCAGCAAATTAGGTCAGGTGAGCAAAAGGGGAAAGGAGGACTGGACAGAGCTGCACCCCAATACTGACCTCCATCCACAGCCCGGCCACGTGCACGCAAAGGGCTTTTCTCCTGTGTGCCTCCTCAGGTGGGCTTTCAAATGGCTGCTTTTCGTGTACATCTTGGTGCAGCCAGGAAAAGAACATTTATGCATTTTAATGAGTTCAGCTGCAGGGTTCTTTTGAAATTTCTGACCCATGATGATTCCCGTCTGGCCCTGGATCATGCCTCCTGGCCCAATTGGCTTGGCGGCGATGGGGACGGGAGCAATGCGGACAAATTTAGAGGACAAGTTCAAATTGGACGACTGAACTATCTGAGGCACAAGGGCAAATGTCTGTCCTTGGATGTTGACTAGGAGCTGTGCAATTTTAATGTTCTCCTGTGCTGGTCCTTGGGAAGTGGGGCTCGTGCTGGACTCCTGTTTGATCTGCACAGGCTGAATTTGGAGCATAACCGGTATTCCATTCTCCAGGGTCATTCCTCCATTTGAAGCTTGGCCACCTTCCGTTGAGCTAGTCAACTGCTCATTTTTACTCTCTTTTAAACTAGTACTGGGTAACATATGGTCTTTTTGCTGCAGCGAAGCAACAGAAACCTGGCTGCAAGCTCTCAAGTCCTTGGTCTCGCTTTTAGGTCTTTCTTTGAGCTCCAAGTCCATGTTCTCCTCCAAAAATTCCTCAATTTCCTCAAGCGTGGGCTGAAATGGTCCTGAGTCTTCCATATCCACAGGAAATTCAGGCAACCTAAAGTACTCCTCTTTCACTATTGGCTGAAGTCTCCTTTTGTCCCACCATGATGCAGTGGTGTTCCCCAAAGATGCCTGGGACAATAAATAGTCTAAGATACTGTCCTGACTTTCTGCACTGGATGTGCTTCCATAGCTGGAGCTGAGGACCTGGGAGTCAGGGCTGGAACAAGAACAAAAGCTGGACGAGTCACTGTCATCTTCTGACAGGGGAGAGGGCAGCATTTGGTAGGACCTCACGCCTGCTGTCATGTCCCCAAAGTATCCAAGAGAAGATCTTGTGGATGAAAAGGATTCATCAGTAGGCAGCAAGTGATCCACCATTCCTGGATGATCTCTTATGGATATCCCAACAGCATATACCAGGCAGCCAAAGTTCAGGTGAGAGCCTAAGTGCAGGAAAAACAAAACAGCAACAGTCAGAAGTTGGTTTAATCATTTATGTCCATGAACTGAAACTCGTAAAGCCCTCTAGCCCACAGGAAAGTCCAGAGCATCCAGCCTCCCTGGGTACACAGGCTGCTACAAGCTTTGATACGGCTGCACCACCCCCCGAGGACTGTCAGGGCTGAAGTGTTTGCAGGATTGCACCACATATTTGCAAAAGAATGCTGTCAGAAATCATTTCCCAACCGTGTGGAGCTCCAGATTTACAGCTCCCTTATAGAATATTACCAGCAAGAGAAAATAAATAACAAGCTTTCACCTAGCAGTGAAATCCAGAGCCAAAGAAGGGAATGAGAAAAAAAAATAAAGTGTTGAAATTTTTACCACCAAAAAGAAACAAATAAAAAAAGTTTATTGCTGGTGACCATAAAATGCAAATCCCTTCCCTATCTTGTAGCTTTCCACCAACCTTATTTTTAACTTCCTCAGTTCTACAAATATAGGCTGTTCAGCATAATGAAAGGATCAATCTGGCAGGAGCCAAAAATATTTACTGTGCTTCAGCATTTACTAGGTGGATTTTCCCCTCCAGATGTAATGAATCAGTGTGCCAACGTCATCATCACCTGCACTGTCCTTAATAAGGCTGGCACCGCACTGAGCTAATTACCATGCCCTGCCAGCCAGCTGGTGGCCGCTTTCACCCCTCCGCTCCAGGGGCTGAGCTGAGCCCCGAGCCAGCTGCACGGCCCCGGCATCCCGACCTGCCCCCGAGGGGCAGCATCCCGCAAATCCCTGTGAGCCCGGATCCCGCTAGGAGCCCGCAACAGCAAACCCCACCCCGGGCAGCGCAGGCACCCAGCGCCGCTGACAGCCGCGGTTCTCCTGCGCTTCACCCGCTAACACAAGCAAACTTCCTAGAAAGGCCACTGGGGAGGGACACGCAGGAGGGACATCTGCGTGTTTCTTTGATTCCCCACCTCCCCGAGGGAAAAAACAAAAATTGCTTACGGAGGGAGATTATGCCCCTTAGAGAGCAAAGGCAGAGGGCTCGGATGGAGCGAACACTGGCCCTCAGTCATTTGCTCAAGGTGACTGATTGGAAACGGAGCTGTACATGTGCATAATAAAACAACTCTTTCTGTGGAAGGTATGTGGACTGCAGAGATAGAAGTCATTCGATCAGCCTATGAGCTGGTGTGTGTGTGTGAATTAGGAGGCATGTGACCCGGCGTGAAGGAAATGCCAGTCAATCTTGTTACACGCTGTCATTTTCCACAGGCTCTGCCGCTGCGCTCTGGACGCTTTGCCATGAATAGTCAATAGCTCCCAGTTTTGTGCAGGCGACAGGATGGTTGTTACTGCTGTTGCAGAGCATCTTTGCTGCCTCATCTCCAAAATTTACCCCGTCTTTCCTTCTCTGGAGAAAAATCAAAAGGTGTGTGTATGCTCAGTGCTGCAGAACACGGAGCGAGGTATTTTACACAGCACCCTTAAAGAGCTCTGTCCTGTTGGCAACACTTATTAACATTTCCCAGGAAGGGGGGGAAGCCATATTTCTTAAAGATATGGCTTCTTCCTTCATAGACACATGGAGGAAACAGGGACAGGTTGAAAGAAAGACTAAAAGTAAGATTGCATATTTTCCTGGTCTGTGTCTTCTGTCAGTCAGCTGTGCCTCTGAACCAATAATGAAATACCTACTGTGCTGAACACGAGGAAGTTCAAACAGAGGTTAGTGGCTCTGTTTTGTGACCTTAGCCTATAATCATGTCTTATAGTAAAAGCGAAGAGTCAGAAAAAATGAACACACTTTTTTTTTTCTTTTTAAATCCCTGTGTTGATAGAAAGTTCCCCCAGCAGAAGTCCCTTAGCTGAGCTATTCCAGTTTTGAAACAGAAAGCACCATCTGCTTCTGACAAATTAGTACTGGCATCTGGTAAGAATTCACCCAAGCTGATTGTTTCTATCTTGCACCAAAAACTGGTGATTGCCTTGAGAAACACAGGGCAGAAAGGAAGACTTGCCCTCAGATGGTTTCTGTTTCTTCCTCCAATGTCTGTATTATTCCAGTTTAAACTTCTGAAGAATGGGCTGTGAGGGAAATCTGGACTCCAACATGTGCTTTTCTAAGAAAAGCTGGCATGCTCTGCGTGCACCAAAAGCAGCTGGTGATCTTCTCTTAAAAAAAAAAAAAAAAAATGTTCAAGGCTTCCTTAAATGCTTGCAAGAGTTGGGAAGCCAAAAATCAAAATATCCATATATTTCCCTGGGAATAGAACTAACTGTAATTTGAATAAGGACTTAAACAAGGGGGGGAAAAAACAATAATGAACCCCTTGCAATTGCTGTGGGCCGGTACTTCAGCAGAAAACAGCCAGCAGGCTTGTTTCCCATCTCTTTTGACAAGGAACAATGTCACTCGATGTAACCACAGGTTTTTTAAGAGAGGACTGTCAGAGCCAAATAGATGCAGGCACACAGCAGGCCAGTTCTGCTTTCTGTGCACTCTCAAAGCTTGCAGAACAGCCAAGAAGATTTTGGAGAATGCCTGGAATGCAGGATCGGGCTCTGGCTATATTTTTTTCCTAAAGGCCAGGCTAACAAGCAAAATACTTTTATCCTTACTTTGCCTGAAGACACAGCCAAAAACAGAAGATTAGAAAACAAAACCAAAAAAAGCCGGGGCTGTGAAGGCTGTGAAAACTAATGATGCTGTTTCCATAACACACTTTCATCTCTAGGAACGCTGTAAACACATTAGAAATGTAAGCACCTATAGTGGGACCGCAGTGCCTGAGCCACTGGAAACAGCCACTTCTGGAGTGAAATACAGCAGCTGTTCGGCAGCACCACCGGCTCCAACTTTTTTTTTAAGAGTTCCCTGGGTTGTTATGATGTCCTTTCTGCCAAAAACATGTTGTTCTGTTTAAAACCTGACCATCTAATTGCCAGCTAAAAAAAAGATAATGACAAAAAGCAAATCAGAGAAGACATATTTTGACACAGAGCAACATGAAAATGTGAAGTGCTGGGAACTTGCTGAAACACGGGAACGTATTTCCCAGCCTGTCATTTCTGGACAGTCAGCCCAGCACATCTGATCACACAGCATATATGAGACTCTGACAGTCATTTCCTACGTTTACTGCCACAGCTTTTTCTACTTTAAGACTAATCTCTTCAGGGTTTTCTCTTGTTCTAAATCTGTTCAGGCTGACTTCTGCTTCACAGACAGAGCCATAAACAAGGCAATGAAGCAGGCCCAGAGCTTCTAAGAAATTAAAAGAGAAATGCAAAGGGAGAGAAAAATAATAATAATAAAAAGAAGCCGCGAGCCAGGAGTAAACCCATTTGCTCTCATCTCTTCCGCAAGGTGGCCGTGCTGCTCCCCGGACACAGTGGGGTGTTCAGGTTTGTTTTTTTCCAAACCCGTTGCTCCTGGGAAGCTGCAGAAACATTCCCAAAGCTTTCTTCTCCGAAAACTATCCCGCTCCAGCCCCAAACTTTGGCTTGCACAAGAGGAAGCACTTCACCTGCAGCGGGCACAGGCAGCGGCCCCAGCGGAGCGCACCCCGCTGCCTCTGCACCCCCAGCAGCGAAGGCGCCCCGAAAAAACGCGTGGCACCAGCCGCTGTGCAGGGAAAGGGGTGCCGGGACACACACACAGAATTCCCACTCCGGCACGAGCACAGCCAGGCTTCCATGGCTGCAAAACATGTTCGTTTGGCGTTTGTTTTTTTATTTTTTTTTTTTTGTTTGTTTGTTTGGTTTTTTTTTTTTAATCGTGGTTTGTTTGTTTGTTCGTCCCGTTTGTAGAGGTTTTTTTAAAATTATTATTTATGTATTGCTTTTTCCTCCCATCCCTTTTCAGGAGGCTTTGGGGGTCCCAGCTCCCTCTCTCCCCCCACCAGCGTGGTCGCGATGATCGGGAACAAACCCCCCCTCGCCGCCTGTCACTCCACGGCACGGCACCGCTCCAGCCCGAAAACAGCCCCCAGCCGGGATGGAATTCCATCTGCCGCCTCGGCCGTGCGGCAGCGGCGCTCAGCCCCGGCCCGGGGGGCTGCGGCAGCGGGCGCGGAGGCACCGCGGGCGGGACGCGGCCCCGCGCAGCCCCCGCGCCCCCATCCCGCCCTTACCTGAACTCCTCTGCGAGCCGGGGGGCAGCAAAGGCCACGAACGACCAGAAGAACGCGAAAACAGCGAAAACGAGGGGGGGGGAATAAACCCAAACAACACAACCAAGCCACGGAAAAAAAAAAAAAAAAAAAAAAATTAAAAATTTAAAAGGGCAAAAATAACTATAGAAATAGTAATAAAAAAAAATCAAAGAAAAATTTAAAAAGCCACAGGCGCGCAATAAAAGCGCAGGACTAAGCCCCAGCAAGCCCAAAGCAGCAGCCCGCAGAGGCAGGAGCGGCCGGCAGCGCGGAGCGGCGGAGGCGGGCGCAGCTCCCCCGGGAGGCGGGTGCGCGGTGCGGAGCGCGGCCCCGCTCCCGTAGTACTATATCCCCCTCACATGACGGGAGCCCGGCCGCGGCGGGGGAGGCCGGGGAGAGGCTCGACCGCGTCCGCCGCCCCCATTGGCCCCGCCGCGGCGGGGGCCGGCCCGGCACCGGCCTCAATGGGAGCCGCGCTCGGCCCCGGGGCGGTGCCGCGGGGAGGCTGCGAGCCCCGCGGGGCGCGGAGCCGGAGGAGGGGCCGGCGGCCACGGGAAGGGGGAATGGGTCTGAGCTGGGTCTTCCTCGGTGTGAGGAAGAGTGTTTTACCGCGAGGGTGATGAAACACCGGAACAGGTTGCTTGGAGAGCCGGCTGATGCCCCATCCCTGGAAACGTTCCAGGTCAGGTTGGACAGGGCTCCGAGCAATTTGATCGGGTTGGAAACGTCACTGCTCCTTGCAGGGAGTTGGACTAGGTGGCCTGTTGATGTCCCTTCCAACCCAAACCACTGTGAGAGTCTGTAAGTGTGCAAGCCTCTGGACATCTCCTGGAGATAAACGAATCCCTGGGGAGGTGTGAGGAGCCCCATGCCCTCTCTCCTGCCCCACACCTGCACACCTGCCCCTTTCCTGCCTGCCAAAGCTTGATGGGGGGATTTCCAGCATGCTAGATATGTGTCCCACACACACACACACCATTGCTACTGCAGACATCACTAGTTCTTCATATGAACACACATAATAACTTATGTGTATGTATATACACGCATATACACACAAACACACTATAGTTATGCAATACTTGGTATGGATCAGGATCTATGTTCCTGCAGAGGAAGCTCACAGTGGGGCCAGCTGCAGCAGCAGTCAGGTTTTCTGCTCAATCAGTGGTTTTCCAAATGCAGTTTTTCCTTTTTTCAATTCTCTTGGGAAGGTGCAGCCTGGGATATCAGAATGCAGTCCTGTGACAACAGGTCTGTGCATCCTTTTGTGAGGGCACATGGGACAGCACACCCTTCCTTCTTCCCACAGTAGACCTTGCTGTCCTTCAGGAAAAATGAAGTATTGTTCTCATTTTATGGGGAAACAGAGGCACAGAGGATCAAACAAAAGGTCTGTGGCAGAACCAAGGTGCAGTCTCATCCCTTTTCAAATCCAGCTCAATTTAAACTCACAAAAATATCCTCCATCTGTATTTCTTCAGAACTGCCAGTAACACACCCCACAGCCTGGCAAATATAAACCAGTCTCTTCCCAAGAGGACATTCAGCCTCAACAAGTCCTGGCCAGGCAGCAGAACAGGGGTGACCCTACAGGTGCTCCTTCATCCTGCTGGGGACCATCAAAGGAACTGGGGGAGCGCAGGGCTCTGCTCTCATGCACAGACCTCGTTCTTCCTCTCCACATTGTCTCAATGAATAATGCATGAATACATACTCATCAAAATCCTAGATTCTATATTTGTACAAATACATCAGGGCCAAATTCTGCATTAGTGTAACTTCACTGACGTCAAAAGGATTACGTTGGTAAAAATGTTGGCCTTAAATATTTTTACCCAAAATAGATGTTTGGCAAACCTCACTTTACTGCTTTTTCTCAATTAAAACCCCTTTGTTTCCTGAGTAGGTGAAGTTTAGTGTGATTTAGCAATGCAAAGGACATGAAATTTATATACAGCTAAAATCTAAGCCAACAAGGCCGGGCTTTAATGGAATTTGAATACAAAATTCCCTTGTCATGTTTATCACATGGAAACAACCAAAAGTTGCAATCTTAATTTCATCATTATTATAATCTACCTAGGCACAGGGACATGTTAGATGTTTCTCTAACTTGCATTTTTCTACTTGCAAAAGGCACTGTCTTCATATTTTAGTCACAGTAGTTCTGAACTTACTTTAAATTGCTAGAGGTACAGTGAAGTCCCATATTTACCTCATGTGGAAATAAAACGGGGTTTTCCCAGTTCTGCTTTTCAAGTTTCATCTGTTTTACTGGGTCCACAACCTTTTCAGTTCCCTAAAAGCACCACTGGAGGCTGGGTCCTTTGCCCACTGTACAGCTTCAGGGCTGTGCTGTTGGCTGTTTCTGAGGCTGGAGATAGGAAGGTGAGAATTTGCAGTGGGCTCAAGCAGATCCAAACGTGCTGCTGTAGGAGGGGATGCACAGCCTCCATCCCTTGTGGCAGCACCTGCCCCTGTGTGGCTGCGTGTCATGATGGAGGAGGGATCTGATACTTTTTCACATCTGAAGAACCCTACTGATCATCTCAGCCTTTCAATACTGCTGGGAGGTGAAATGTAATGGAAATATGAGGAAAGTGTAACTAAGGCATCTGTATTTTTCCCTGAGATTTTCCTGTGGGGGAAAAAACAACAACAACAACAAAAAAAAGTATTAGAAATGCAGGCAGGCAGTGCACAGCACCTGGGAAGGGAGTGCAGAGCACAGAATGAACCCTGACCCAAGCTCACTGACACACAGTGACAAGTTCTGGATGCACCTTTCACATATGTCCAGATCCCCTTTGCTGTGCACACAGACTCCATGGGAATCTTCAGCACAGCCCTTGTGTAGGCTCAGTGACTGCCTTCAGCATTCCTGGGTGTCCAGAGCTCTTGTGGAAATTGCTGCCCTGACCAGGCAGTTGGACATCAATACACCCAAGAAAAATATTCATATTCTTTTTCTGCTCAGGCAGAAATTCTAGACAGAGACAAAGGACATGTTAAAACCAAACAAACAGGACATACAATGGCACAAATTCTGATGCCTCACTACAGCACAATCCTGTCACCTTACAACAGAGAATAATGGGAAAATGCACAAAAGTCACTGCTTCATAGAATGCCAGCCTGGGGCTGTCCTTGCTGAAACATCCCTGCAGCTTCATCCACTGCAGCATCTTTCCTGAGCAAACATTTTAACAGAGAAACTTCCATTCTCAGCTAGACCATATTTTCTTACCCATGAGTCTGCTGGGAGTGCCTCAAACTGCAGACCTGGTTTTGAGGTCTGCAGGTCACTTTGGGGCTTAACCCCAAACCTGAGGATTGCAAGCTACAGTGGCGGGTGCCAGCCCCTGAGCTGACTCAGCTCCTTTTCCATCCCTCTGTCATCTCTGCATGCACTTCTCAAGCTGTGAACTGGTTAATTCCTCTGAGCCCCACGACAGTGAAAGCAAGCTGACACATATCTAAGTTTTGCTCAAGGCTTTGGAAACACTACAAGCCTTTATTAACAGCAGGGGAAATGCACAGATCTAGACAAATATAATTACTTTTGATCCCTTTTTTCTGCCAACTTTTCATGAGAACCAGCAATGGCTGGGATAAGATTTTGGGAATGAATTTTTGTGCATCTGTGACTGATGTTTCACATCAGCGTCCTTCATTTGGTACTGCAGCACAACTGAGTCCTCATTCCATGCTGTGAAATACATGTGAATTTTCCCAACCCATCCATTTTGTGCATCAGGAAGAGATTTCCTTCCTTTTTTTCACCCCTTCAACAACTCCTTTGAAAATCTATTGCTGCTTCTGTCCCTTGATATTACTTGGGCATTTTCCATTCTCTCTTTTGCCACATTTCAGGAGAGAACTTCAGTCAAACTGGTTGCCCTGCTCTGACAGCCTTTCTGGCATTGGCACAGCCCAGTCAAACACTGGTGATAACACAGAGTTAAGGTCCTTTTAACTGGCTTTTGTCTGATGGCTCTGTGTTAAAGATCTAGCCAGGAAAGGCAGCATTCCAACTTAAAAAAATAAAAAAAAATAAACCTCAGCATTCCAACTTAAAAAAAATTTCCTGAAGATAATAATTGCCCTGCTTTATGAAGTTAAAAAGGAGCCATAGGCTGAGCTGTTCCTGAGTTGCTCTGTGCCACATAGCACTGAGCCTTTAAAGGTGGGAAAGGCAGAAAAGGTTCCTCCACACCACACTCAGCAGTTTACACCTAGAATTGCCTGGCTCTGCTCATACTTTGCCTTTCCTTTCATGCTCTAGAGGCTGACTTTTCCTGCCTTGTATTTTCTCCTCTTTTGTATGTTGCTTGCACAGTTCTGAGTTACAAATTACTCCTCGTTTTTAAGGGGACTTGAAAGAAAAGTGAACTTCATGGATGGACAAAAAGAGGGATTGTGTTGCATTGGGTGAGTGCTTTGCTGTCTTTAGAGGTCACCTGTGGTATTTCTGCCCCAGCCCCTGCCATTTCCCATTTACTGCAGCAGCAAACTATTAGTAATCTAATGAGCCAGCCAGCCACCTGGCAAAACAAGGGTTAGTCAGCCTGAATTGATTATTCACACATTTCCATCTGATTTACAAATCAAGGTTGAAAGAAGCAAAAAAAAAAAAAAAAAAAAAAAAAAAAAAAAAAAAATCAAGCAGAGTAGAAAAAAAATAAATTAAAAGGAACTTCAAATTCTATTTTTGGTTTTGTGTGTTGTTTGAGGATTTTTTTGTTTTTTTTTAAGTTAGTCTCCTGCAGATGGATCCCTTCCATGTGCCACAAAGCCCATGGTCACATCCAGCTGAGCTCTAGTGGGCTTCAGCTGTCAGCACCAGAACAGTTACATAGGGAACAAAAAAGCCTGTCAGACTCTCCAGTAATGTTATGATCACATTAACTTAGCAGTCCTTGACACTCACAGATAAGGACTGTAAGTTCTCTCAGTACTACAGAAATATTGACACAAAGAATATGTTTATCCCTGGCTGTGTCTCTGCAGGACAAGGTGGAAACAGCAACAGCAATCTCAGGACTTAATTTCTTTGGCCTTGCCAGGGCATCTGTGCTCCAGGGCCAACAGTTTATTGATTTGAGGGTTTTTTTCTTCCCTCCACTGGTTTGGAAATTATGTTGTCTTTTCAAGTCAGCATCATAGGTCCAGGGGGAGATAAGTTGGAAGAAAGTAATTTTAGGATTTTTTATGCTATTAGGCTTTTGACTGTTAAAGACAGTGGGAGGGACCTGGGGAGAGTTTCTGATTTTCTCCCAAACTTTCTGTTCATTAATATACTGAGAGAGAAAATGTTAGCTGACCTTCTGGCTGCATTTCTCTAAGCCATCTTTAGCCAGGTCCAGTCCAACCTCGGGTTTCCAACCCCTGCACTTTAATCTGGCAAAAGCACCCACGGAGCAGAGCTGTTCCTGCTGACACCGTGGACGTTGAGGGAATCAGACCCCCTCTGCAGGGACAGGGGTGTGCTGGGCGTGTGAGACACGAGTTGTCCCACCACTGCCTCCCCTGGCTTGATGGCGAGCTGAAGCACAAGAGCTGG